GAAATGGAGGTGGATCAAAGTAACATCTGAATATCTACAAAACTAAGTCAGGTAGCGAAAAACGGATAACATATTTTAAAAGTTTAGCCTTGAAAGCCTGCGAAAGTGTTCTTAAGTCAAAAATCACGAAAGTGGCATGTAGATCAAAATGTCACTCAGACGATGATTTGTTGGCTGAATATTTGAACAGTTTTCAATACATTAAATAATTTTCTCAGATTTTCCTTTTTCCTCAAAATGAAAGTCAAATAAATTGCTTTTTATTGTACGTTTCAAATAGAGAAATTTTTAATTGCAATTTAGTTTTCACTGCAGTTCTAAGGTCACGAAATAAAAGAACTGGAATAAGAGCTGTACTCAAAGCAGAATAATGAATAAATGAATATTTTCTAAATATTTTATATGAAAAATTAACATGTATCGGGATCTCTTGAAATTTCTCGTACCACTAAGCTTATTATATAAAACTTCATTAAATTTACTTAAGTTGCATTATTCTCATAATAGTAATAATTTTCATAATTCGTAATTCAAATTAATTAAATTATGTTAAAATTATTTTAAAAGTTTTCGGTTTACAATTTTATATATACAAATTTTCTCCATCTTAAATATTCACTAAGAAAATATTTTTAAAAAGTTTTTAGGACATTAAGATTTCCCGATTTCATTTATTCAAATTTCGTTTTATTAAGTGAAGCAAACAAGTTGTTATACATTTATTATGTATATATATATATATATATATTATGTAAACAGAATAATAAATTCATTTATTTTTTTTTTGTATAAAACTTTCTTTTAAACTGAATAAATGCCATATACCACATTTACATATAGACTTGGCCTGTTACAAAATTTTTATAAAATAAAAATTATAAATTTGATTTTAAATTTCTTTTCTCATTTTTATTATTGTAAAATATTATATTTTATTTAAATAATATAGGAAATTATTATTTGTTATGGAAATATTCTCTTTGTATAATTTCCTGTAATAAAAATCTCTAAAATAAAGAGAAGAGAAAAAATAAAAAAAAAATTTATTTTTTTTTTTTTTGTTAGAAAAATATTTGCATTTTTCAATTGAAAATTTTAAGAATTAAAGGAAAAAACAATTTCTGTGAGAATATTATTATACTTTAATTTATATTATAATATTATTAATGTTTGAATGTAATGTAATTGCATATAAATTAGATTGTAGGAAGAAAAAACCTCAAAAGAGTGAGCGCAGAAGAGAAACGAAATAAATTATTTTGATGCACAGCTTTATCAATTCCATTGTTGCGGCATTAAATTGGATAAAATTGTGATGATTTAAAATCAATTGTGACTGATTGGAGTTGAATATTTTCGAAGTAGATTTAAGTATAAAGCAGTTGAATTTGAAATAAAACCGAAGACCAGAAAATTTGATAAGTGAATTTTGTATAGTTTTTTTGTTTTTATCCTATTTTGCTCCAGGGAGGAGCATACTGTCGGGGCATGATATCTTAGACAACCATGAATCAGTTTCTTGCGTCATTGGGTTTTAGTAGGTAGATGATGAGCCTACCAGAGCAAGGATAGCCTCTCCATCATTGGTCAAGTGAATTTTTAACTTGGTATTAAACAATTATAAAGCTTAATCTAACTCACAAACTTTAGAACACATTAAATTTTCCATTTATATTTATATTTATCTTTATATCTCACTGAAATTTTTATTTGAACAAAATTTTTCCTATTATTTCTAAAACTATCAGTCTATTTTAGCTTAAAATTATAATTTTAATAGTTTATCATTTATAATTTTTCTTATATGTATTATAATTTATATTGTCAAATAATTTAAGAATTTAATTGAAATATTTGCAAACAATTAACTAATATTCAATAAAATCATACACACACACACACATGTATTATATACGAATATATCTAAATTTATGCAAATTTACTTCCGAAGAGACAATAGGAAAAAAAAAAATTCAATTTGTTTTTAATCTCCTGATATTTTGTAATTTTTTGTTCTTCATATGTAAAAATGCAAAATTTTCTAACAGCAGCTATCTATGTAGATCCTTTTCAAAAAATAAAATTTGTACATTTTTATTACTTCCTAAATTCTATAGAAACCAAAATTTACTAAAATTAAAATTAAATTTTCGTATAGACATAGCTACATAAATAATTATGATATTTCAAGAATCCTTAAAGGATTTAAAATTCTTATTTTTTATTTAAATTTCGAAAACTTTCATTTCTAATCTTAATTTAATTTTTTTTTTCATTCTACAATATATTACAGTACTTAGTTTTATCTATCTTATTCGTACATTCATATTATGCTCAAAACACACAACACAATGTCATCTATTATACAATCCTTTAAGGACTACATTCTATATATGCATGTGTAGTATGACATATTATGTGTATAATGTAGTTTATACTATTAAAATTATTATATATTTTGTGTGTATTAATACAGAAGAATAAATAATTTGTACAAGTATTTAGAAAATTTTTAAATACTTGCATATTACATACAATATACACAATATAAAGATAATGACTTTCTAAATATGCAAATGACAATGACAAAAATATAAATATTTTGTTATTTTGAGGGTTACAAGAAAAAAAAAAAAAAACAAAAAACAAATTATTGAGTTTCCAACCTTGTAATTGTTAATGAAGTAAAAATAAATAAATATGTGTGATACGCATATTACATACACATACACGACATACTGTAAAAATTATAATGAAATAAGTGATAACATTGATTTTATAAAATTATTTTCTTATTTTGTTTTACTTGTTTTTTTTTTTTTGTAAAAACTTTCAAGGAATATTTATAAAATTTGTATATGCTTACGTATGCTTGTATCCTTCAATAACTTGTTATTTAATTCCACCCCTCCCCCCCCCCCCCCTTTCTTTCCTCCCTCAATTATTAAAACAAGTGTAGCATAATTATAATATAAAAATATAAGAAAAATAAAACTTAACTAATCATAAGGGAAACATTTTCATTAAAAAAGTTTGACATATTCGATTACAATGTTAAACTATGGTATACAAATAAGAAACTTTTGAATGTTAGGGAATTATGTAAGTTCATGTACCATTCAATCTTATTATATATAGGGGGTTTCGCATAAGGTTGCAAATAATTTCAGGGTTGATTTTTTGATCAATTTTGAGCAAAAAATTGTGTGGATGCAAATATACTGATTTTCGAGCTATAATCTGTTGACCAAAAAAAAAAACAATCCCAGATTTTCAATTATATGTAAATATAATAATACCTTCATAGTCGTGCATTATAGAGTAGCTACAAGACACTTCATTTAAAAATAATTGATAAATCTTTATATTTGTTCTTACAATCAATTATATTTGACCTCTAGTTTTCGGGAAAAAGCTACTCAGAATAAAAATTTTGAATTTCTTTTTTTTTGTAATTTTTTTTCAAAAAACACGAAATTTCTCAGAAATTGCTGTTATTATTTTTTTTTTGCTGCTCGCTGCAATAATAGAGGTAAAAGTTCTCCACGTAATATTTTCATCAGTCTCTTATAATTTTGCAAATAAAACGTGTTAAATGTGAATTTGCAACATCATGTGAACCACCCTGTATAATATGCAGGTAATATAAATATATAAAAATAATTTTATATTGTTTTATATATAAAATAATGTGTAAATGTGTAAATATTATTTCAAATCATTGGTATAAACTAATTAGAAAGATGAATTGAAAAAAATAATTAATTTGTTTTTGCATTTTATATGTTATTTAATTAAAATGTACATGTGTAAGAGAAGAATTTAGTAATAAAATTTACATGTAAAATGACTTGTTGTTAAAATTATAAAATTAAGTTTAAATAATGACATGGGATTGTTATAAAATTTGTGAATCACTTAAAAATTAAGTGACTTAATTCTTATTTTAAAATGTTGGAATTTTTCTTTCGCATATTTATAAAATTAAATTTGTTTTTCTCTAATTTAAAATTGATAGGATTTGTTAAACAAATTATTTTTAAATTCAATATCTATGTAAATATAATTTAAGACAAGAAATAAAGATCAAGGTCTATAATTGAAATAAAAATCCAAAAACTCAATTTCATAGGCAACGCATGGTGTAACGCAACTTCCATGACAGAAAATTTTTGATATTCTTTACTGCAATATTTTTATACTTGTTACTTTTTTCAATTGAACCTCAATTTAAGATCTCGAAGGGTTTACGAAGATTTTTTTTTATCAAATCTTCAAAATAAAGATTTACTTTTAAGAAAATGAAGATATTTGGGCTAAGCTATTTGGCATCACTGTTTGTACTCCACCTATTTCTAATCCAGTACAATTGCGTTTAATTCTAAGTATGATAAAGATGAATTACAAATTTCAACAATATTTTCTTCATTGTTTATTAGTATTGAGGCGGCTATTAAAATTTTCAGGCCATTTCGATCTTTGCAAGATATAAAAATTAATAATTAAAATTAAAAAAACACCTGGGTGTGTTACTGTGAACAAAAGGGTTTGTAATTTTGAAAGTCAAAAAAAAAAAAATTGCACAAGTATAATGAAAATATTCTCTTTGATTTTCTTAGAGAAACTGAAAGCCATTTATTGTAAAGCGTGCAAAAATTGTTCAATGAAAAGACTTAATCAATCGAAATCGGGTCGAAACTTTATCAAACGTAGTTTTAACTTCTTCTATTCCAATACTACTGAACTAAATGAACATATAGATCAAAAGAATAATGTTATTAGCAAGAAAGCGAAAACCAACAACTTTTCACTAATTTAAATTTTTGTATTCTTAATGTCATATTTCGGCTGACTCTGTCTTCTGTCTTCTCATTCATCTCATTAATAATTAATTTTTTACTAACAACCCTAAAATTTATTTCCTTTTTCACCATTTTCAGTGTTTTTCAAATATTAACATTCATTTATTAAAAAACAAAGACAAACTGCCTTTCACTTACTTGCTTCAAAACCCTTAAAAATTTTTTTAAATTTGTTTTGCTATTTTTCACAAACAACTTCACAAATCTTTTTTTGCTTTTCTATCACAGTTTTTTAATTTTTAAACATTTTTTTTCTTTTGCACTTTTAGGTTATTCGTTTCGTTTGCTTCCACATACATAATATAGTTAATTATTTTACGAGGTGAAGTTAAGCGTTTCCTTACCTAAAATGACAAAAACAAGAAAATAAATTAGATCCTTTTAAAACTTTGTATAGTTTTAATATATTACAAATACATCAGAAAATTTATATATATGTGTATTTATGTATAATAAAAATTATAATTGGAATTACACAAACAAAATTGTAAGAAAATTTCTGTTTAAAATATGAAAGAGGTGTAACTCCATTATTTGCATTTTGATGAGACTAATAATAATTTTATGTTACAGAAACTCGAGTATTCAAATTTCTTCAAAAAAAAATTAGGAACAAGAGCGATTTGCCAGAAAGCCAAATGCAGTAATTAAGTTTGATGATTTGTTAAACTGCAGGAATGAATAATTGAAAGACATTCAAGGTGAACTGATGCCATTCCAAAAATTTATTAGCATTTCTCTTAAAATACAAATAAAACACATACAGTACCATGGTTGGAAATCGAATTTCCAACCTTCTGACAAATTCAAGCATCATGTGAGAATAGACTTCTCGTAACTCTCTTGCTGTAAAGGAGTAAATATGCAGACACAACCTTCATCTGTGGGTCAACGCTCCACACTCCTGGAAAGTTTCTTCCATTTCCCTACAGAATATGCAAGTGCCCTCGGTTTCCACGCTCAATCCATTCATAGGGCCCTTGAGTCTACACTGGCCCTTGTTCCTGATAATAATTGCCTACATTGCTCCGATCTTGCACCTTTCCTGAGTTTTTCTCATATCGCCTGCGGCCCAACTTCACAAAATTGAAATTGAGTTTCCATAGGTTTTCCAATTCAAATATTAGAACCGAATTTCATTTAAATTTAATGAAACTAGAACCAACTACTTACCCTCTTTTATCTTTTATTATTCAGTAAGTTTTCATTTTAAGATTTCCTGTAAATTCCCAAAATCATTGTATAATTATTATCAAATTATTCACACTCCCATATTAGCAACTTTGAACGTTTTTCTCCCCATCAATTTTGAAGTGGTAAACAAGATTCCTGTACAATATTTTATGTTACTCTTCTTTTTTTTTTTTACACATAAATTCCTTCTAAGTCGGGGACTCAAAGTTTTATTAAAACTTTTGGAGTTAAAATATAGAGAGTTGAAAGAATTTTGAAAAGCCCTTAAAAACAATAAACAGAAAAAAAAATATTCAAGTGAAATTTATTTTTATAGGAGAGAAAAAGGTTAAAATTCAAGTGTTTAACTTTGTTTTTTTTTTCTCTCTCTCTATTTCCTTCTCTTTCCTTAAGTACCTGCTATAATGTATGCATTTACTTAAATATTATAGTATGCTAATATATGTGTACCAGATTTGGAGGATTACCTAAAAAAAAAAACAAAAAAAGGTGAAAACTAAATTTTTTTTTTGTTTTTGGAATATTTTTGTTTCGGAACTATTGCATTACAGTTCGTTTTTTTTTTTTTTTTGGAAAAAAGTTTTAGTTTTTCTTATGTAACATTTGGTTACACAGTTGAAAATATATTTGTATATATATATGCGACATTTTGAAAATTGTTAAAATTAAAGTTAAGTACAGTTTTTCAGAAAAAGAAATTGTTTTCTTTTACAACATTATAAAAAAAATTAGAAAAATAATAATTTAAATTTGCAACAAACGAACGAAAAAGAAACCCAACACAACACAGAAAAAAATAAATAATAATAACTGCGTTTCAAAGAGTAACTTGGTACTGAGGTTTTTCTAAAAAACCTTTTTAAAACTTCATAGAATTTTAATAATATAAGCGAAAAAGTTCAAATATTTTATTTTACTTTGTATATTTGAAACGTATAAAATTAATGAATGTTGAATTACTTTAAATGAAAAATTGTAATTTTATATTTTTTGTAATAAAAAAGAAAAGAATTTTTGCTGCAGTGAACTCATTACCTTACGTAAAATACACAGGAACAAGAAATATTAGTTTCAAAACAATTTTATAATTTATTAAATTCAAAATGAAAAATCTAAAACAGTAAATAGCTACTATAAGTTTAGCAAATAAACATTCAATAAATATTCAGGATTGGTAAATTGCTAGTTGCAGTTCCAATTCCGATTTCAGCCTTATTTCAATTAAATTTACTTATTTAAGTTGAAATTGAATTGGCTTTAGCCGATATGCGTATTAATTGCCCCAATCTTAAACTCATAGGAAAAAATATTTATACTAATTCCAGTACTTTCCTGTATATTTGTAAGAAAATGAGAAATAAAGAATTTAAATCAGAAGTGTGCGTCAATAGAATTCTAATCAATTCTGTGTGCGTCAATAGAATCCCTACTTAATCTATATTGCAATTTTGTATTCTAATTAGCTGGAACTTATATAAGAAAATTTCTTAAGTGATTTTATTTATAAATATTTTTGCATTTAAATTGAAAGGTAATTATTCTAGTATTTATAGCTGTACGAATGTATGTTCGAAAGGTATTATAAATTTTGCTCATCGTTTGTAACGCTAAAAAAAATATAAGGGTATGTTTTCGATCGGTATCGAGTTCTAAGTCGATTTAATTCTGTTTGCCCGTCCGTCCGTCCATCTCAACTGTAACTCAAAAAGCAATTGAGCTGAGCTCAATAAATTATAAATCCCGGAACACTATTTTAATTGGATGTGAAGAAGATAGTGATTCGGATAGTAACTGTTCTACAACTTTGTTATTAAAAGTATTAAAGCTATAATATCGAAATCACAAGAAAATAATATTATTGGAACTATTGTTTGTGATTAAAATCGTTAAAATTTTTTAATTCCTTGTGGTACTTCTCGTATAACTTCAATATCTTAAAAACTATTGAAATTAAAGAACTGAAATTTTTTGATAAATTAATATGGTAGTGCTTCATCTATTATTTATTGATGGTAGTTAATACCCAGAACTCTATTCAATACGAATATGATCGAAATTGTAGTTTATCTAGCTGCCTTACAATTTCATATCGGTATACCACAGAATTGACATGATCAACTTCAATATTTCTTCTTCATGTACTAAAATTAAAATGAAATAATTATTATTCGACATACTTAATTCTTTAAGATTCTTTTATATTTTTATAAACTTTCTATATATACATACATACATACTTCAATAAATAATAATATTTATAAAAATAATTTTAATAAATCAACAATTTAATTAGTACTTAATATTATTTTCCAGAATTCTTTTACAAATAATAACTACTATAAAATATTTATGAAAAGTGCATATTCAACATAATTGTTATACAAAATCCTTTTTAATATATTCTTTAATAAACAAATTAAAATTTCATAAAGAAAAACAAAATCTTTATCGTTTCGGTTTTTATATACTTTAAATTTTTTAATAATACCTTTATAGTCTGACTTTGTTATTTAGAAAGGAACTTTAAAAAGTAAATTTTATATTCATGTATGTACACATAATATGTGTGCATGTACAATGTAAATAATATGGTAATCTTTCTCTTATATTTTTGTTGTACAATATGATATTTGCATTTCTTATTTTTGACCTCATTACCATATTAGAGTATATATGCGGTATACTTACTACTCAGATCTACTTTCATAAATATTTTATATACGAGTATATCAGAACATTATTATTATGCTCTTGTACTTATATCATGCGTTTGAAATATTAAATTTTCTTTTTTTTTTTTAAAAAAACGAAAGTGTATGTATTTAAAACAAAAAATTAAACTCTTATAAAAAAATTAAACTTAAGAGAATGTCCCATTTTTCCTATTTCATGTAAATACCATATCACTTAAGAGTATAAATATTTAAAAAAAAAATTTAAAGTAAGTACTCCTAATGTAAGAAGTAAAGTATATCATGTAATATTATATAACATATTCATAATTGCGTATATATATGCAAAATAATTCAATAAATTAAAATGTCAACAAACTAGAAAATAGAAAAAAAAATTTAATCTATAAACCTGTTTGTATTATAGAATTTGTTTCTTTTTCCATAAAATCTCATAAATTTAAATAATAAATTATACTTTGAATAGGTATACAAGTAATAACTTATATACAAACATTTATATCTTTATAAACATATATTTGCCAAATAGGAAATATCTACATTTATAACAGTATATAATAATATGCAACACAAAGTCTAGGTCCTTAATTTATATCACATATTTGTACTTAAAAACATTATTGTGTTGTATGGGACAAGAAGTAGTATGGAATACTATAACTGCGTGCGTGTGACATCTACCCAACAACATATGCTTCATTGTATAACAGAATTGGCGATACAGAATAAAAGGAAAAATTTAAAGGAAATTACAGAAAAAAAACAAAAAGAACAAAATCGACGATAAAGTGCTCCGGTCTGTGTGCGTAAACTTTTATATGGTGCAAATCCCCCCCACCCCCACATACTCTTATTTCCTCCTAATTTAGCTTTTTCGAAAAATATTTGCAAAATATACAAAATTTTATTTAAATTTCATACCTTTTTCTTTAAATATTCACAAAACAATTTTCATTTTAAACGCTTGTTTTTTTCAATTCAAATACTTATTTTGTAAACTCATTTACATTTTTAATATTAAATATAGCAAATGAACATTTTGTATTTGCTCAAAATACCATTATATACCCAAACACATACATACATATGTAGGAATAAATTTAATATTCACACAATATTATGTACAAATCATTATTTTTAGATCCTTGCATATGTTAAAATTTTTGAGAGTTTTTATCATTTAAAATGAAATCTAACAAACAATATTGTCTCCCAAAAACAAAATTAAAAAAAAAAAATTCATATTTATTTATTCAAACATAATTTGGCTTCGTTAAACAGACATTCATAATTCATTTACAAAAAAAAATTCTAATGTATTCACCTACATATGGTCTTTTAATACTGCAGACGTGCCTGCCTATATTTACACATTTTATGTACATTATACTAA